GAGGGCGCAATTGAAAATGATAGTGCTCATGGGAAATTTGATTGGCTGAATCTATGGCAGCCATCTTGGATGGTACACACACACAGCTCTGCGTATTTCGAACATCGAATACATTGCTGTTAGCGCTCTAGTATTCTTATTATATCTCTATGGAAAAAGGTAATCAGTTTTGGAAGAGGGCGTCCTATCTGTTGCCATGGATCTGAGATGGTTCCTGTTCTGCTGTTCACAGGATTGATACCCTAAAGGTAAAGTCGCGCGGTGTACGGTATGGTCAGAGCTGTCAAGGGTCAAAAGTTTCCAATTTAGCAAGAGGGCGCCATTCATGCCTTAATACAGAATTTGCACGCGTAAATCGCGGAGAACGCTATCTTGAACAGCAGACACCATTTTGTATGAGGGCGCTATTTAAAAATGCTGTATTACTGTATCACATTAAAAAAATATAATTTAAAAAAGCGTAAATAAAACCTGTACATGTTTCTGTTTCTAGATCGGACACGTGGAAATAGAGAAGGCGATGAATGCAGCGGTTCTACAGGAAAGATACGAAGGGGGTGGGGAGTGAGACGACAACGGCGCAATGTTGTTGGAGAGACAAAAATGGCCTTGTCATTTTTTGGAGTGACATTCATACTATTATCACTTAAACTTTCAACTGTATTGAAATTGTAAACAAGCAAACTAAAAACTTGGTGTATTTTTTTTTTCTTTTATTTGAAATTGTGCCCAATATTTAAATTTTGTATAACATATACCAAGGTCACGTCAAATTACCAAGGAATATTAACTGTACCAGTTCTTGAAATTTCATCGTATACAAAAATGGTAACAATTAATCACAAATATTTTATATGCTTAATTGGTTTTTTTATTATTTCACCCGCTGAGCGGGATCAAAACCACAATAGACATGTTGTCCTATATTTTTGTATACAGTATTCCATTCAGTATAACATTATACAAATATTGTTTGAAGGTTTGCATGGGGAAGTAATAATACATATTAATGCTTGCGGTACACCACGTAGATAAGTTCTGAAAAGAACAGTTGTTGGTTGAGAATGTCTCAACCAAAGTATACAAATGCTTGTGAATGCAATAGGAAGAATACTGATTTGAAAGATGAAATATTCCATTCAACAGAGAGAGAAGAATTGAATGGAACAGCCCGTTTTTCAACGAATGAAAATATTATTCTTATTACATGAATACAAGCGTATGGCCTATTCATTTATTGTATAATACCCTAAAAAGATTCTTAGCATTCGATATATTGTGTGAAAACTATAACTTGAGCTTAAAAACTGTCTTCCGAAGTGGCATTTACACTGACCGTCCACTTCAGAGTAAAAATAAAAAATTTGTGTTCATTTATGAGAATAAATTTCAGTCTTAATCTAATAATTTATTTGACGTTTAAGTTTTGCATTATAAAATTTTTTCAAAGATGGGAGAGTGACAAGGCAGAAGAGGGTTCAGATAATATAAAGAAAACATTCATTCTTATGACTTTCAATCACCTGCCAATGAGGGGGAGGTGACTCCCAACTGTCACACTCTTCTTTCGTTTCGCACCAAGGATCCCCTCCGGCAGAGATGTCAGATCCGCCCCATGGTTTACCGTCCGTTTTGTGGTAGACTTCTTAAAGCTTATTCAGTAGTTACTATTGCTTGACATACTTATTGATTTGATCAAGATTTAATTAACACATGTAGCTATTTGATTATATTGCACATATTGTTGTATACTTTTTGGCAAACACGAAGGCTGTAAACGATCTTTTATTGTTTAAATTAAAATCTTTTAAAGAGCATAGCCTAAGCGCCTTTAAAAGTCTGCAATGTCATTTATAAATCTACCATTAGCAACGAGTATTCTACAGTTCCTGCATTAAGAGATAAATATACATAGGCCTATACAGGACTACCTCCAACTAAAGACCACTTTTTGGACCGGGGTTTCCATGGTCACAGCTTTGATCTCTAATTAGAATAATACAAATTGTTATTCTCTTGTGATTGCTTTGTCTATGGAAACTGATCCGAAATAAAAGTTGAATTGAAAAAACATCTGTTAATTGGGGACCACAGAGTAGTGGTCTTTAATTGGAGTGGTCTTTAATTAGAGGGAGACCTGTAATATGAAATTTAAATGTAT